AAAAGAGGGGCTGCCTGATCTCATCTAGTCACTGCCAGATGGAGAAGGCTGCTCTGAGCAAGAGGGGATCTTGAGGCCTTAACCTCCCCCATCACCAGTGAACGCCTCGGGGGAACTCACTGCAGCTGCCAGGAGCAAGAGTACACCTGCCCCAAGCTTCCACTCAGCCGCATCTTTCAGGGGCGCACAGATATGGGCTGCCACCCCCAAGCTAGCTTTCCATGGAGGGAAGAGAGCGTTTGGAACCTGTCTTCCACCCCAGACCCAAGAAGGGGCAGGAGCAGCATGAAGGCCCCAACACCCTCCCCCTCCTGCCCTATGGCAGGCTGGGCTGTGACTGCTCAGTGACAGCCCTTGAGGCTGCGCAGGGTGGAACCAGGATAGGGCCGGGATGCCCACCTGCTCCTTGAGCTCGTTGAGCTGGGCAGTGAGGTGGGACACCAGCTTCATGGTGGAGTTGAGCTTGTCCTGAAGAATCCGGATCTCATTCTGCTCTCCTTCCCCTTCGTTGCTCACCAGGGACATGGCCCTCATCCGGGGGAACCAGTCCAGGTTCTTGTTCTGAAAAACACCAGCAGTGGGGTGAGCGGGCTTGGGCCTGGCCTAGGAAAGCCTCATTTGGAAAAGCAGTTGTGGAGGGCGGGGGGGCCTGCTGCCACACCCTTGGCAAAATGACTCCCCAGGGATGTGTCATGGGAAAATCTGAATTGACCCAGGTCCTCCCCCGGGGCCAGAGTGAGCTGGCAGCAAACTGTCTGTGGGCATTAAGGCCGCAGCACTGTGACAGCCTGACTTCCGTTAGACAGCCTCAAATCTCCCACTAGTATCAGCACCATCTGTTTACTGAACACCCTGCAAGACGTGGAGGGAAGGCCTCTGCGCCCAGACCCTGAATCTCCTTCCTTCCTCCCGCCCCGCCCCACACACCCCCACACCCCAGGAAGATGCAAATCAGACAGATGGTACACTGAGGGAGCGGGGGCTCTGCTGAGGACGGCTGGCGCCTGGTACATGAGGTAGAGTCATGTTTCCCAGGACAGAGGCAGAGCGGGAGGGGCACCAAGCAGCTTTCCGGTGCCTGTTGCAAGCTGTGAATTCTCAGCCCAACAGATACACCTGTACTCAAAGATCAGTCCAAAATGCACTAAGAGACAAATGGAATCCTATCCCCACAACTTTTTTTTCCTACTAAATAGGTCTTCCCTTTTAGGCTACAGTTAATCTGCTGTGCAGTAATTTGGGTTTTTTTAAAGGTCGGTTTTGGTTTGTTTTTTTTAATGGAGGTACCAGGACCTCATGCATCCTGAGCACACACTACCTCTGAGCTACACCTTCCTCCCGCTGTGCAGTAATTTGAAGGTGCCCTACATCTGATGGAACTGATGGGCTTCCTTTACCCTAAATGCTATAAGACCTTTTTTTCCTTGTTCACTGCCTTAACTCCATACTAAATTGGAGTTTTATTTGGTTTCTCCTAAGTCTGATAAAGTTTTTCCAGGTGCCAACCAGGCTTCGGGAAGCTGCCCTCCCTCACCCAGCTAGAAAAGGCCCCTCAGAATGTCCTGCCCCGGCAGGGTGTGCTCTCCTCCCACGCCACCTCACGTTAGGCACCCACAGACCACAGGGCACCACACACATCCTTTGGGGCTGACGGGTTTGCTGTGGGCTTCTTCCCAACACCAGAGCCGACACAGAGGAGTGTGAGGCCCTTCTGCAGCACAGGCAGCTGGCAGGGCTCCCGAGTAGCCAAGGGCCAGCTCCAGCTGCTCCTCGCTCCCCTGCTGGCCTCTTAACAAGTGTCCACAGCTGTCTCAAGTCACCCGCCCCAGGCCTCCAGGGTCAGCGTGGGCAGACGTGGCCTCCCCCCACTGGGGCCCACACCTTGATCATCTGGGCCACGTAGCTCTCAGGCCCTGTGTAGTCCGTCTTGTTTTTCACGCGGACCAGCACGATGAAGTACAGGTAGTTCCACATGTTGTGCTCGAACTTGATGTGTTCCTCAAATGACACCGTCTTGTTGTCAAACTTGTCCCTCTCCAGACCTGATAAGGCAGAGGGTAAGGCTGAACCCACCGGCCTCCAAGAGCCACTATGGGGCCACCTGGTGGGGTGGACATCGCCTCTTGATGGAGTGGGGACATCTGTACTAGGGCTGAAAGTCCTGGTGAACGCAGGCAACAGCCCATCAGGGCTATTTAGGTCTCTTCTATTTAAAGCACCAGCCACTCGGCCGCACAGTGCCTCGCCCGCAGTGGCGAGGACTAGCAGAGCAGACGCCGGAATTCCACGGCCCGGGGCAGCAGGGCTAGCTGGATAAGGGATCTGTCCCAGGTGGTGCCTG